ACTAGAGGTGTGGCTCTGTCACTTTTGTTCTGTTACATTACAATGTCCTGTCTGTTCCAGGACACAATATGGCCCCAGCACTCGGACACTCCCCAACTAGAGGTGTGGCTCTGTCTCTTTTGTTCTGTTACATTACAATGTCCTGTCTGTTCCAGGACACAATATGGCCCCAGCACTCGGACACTCCCCAACTAGAGGTGTGGCTCTGTCACTTTTGTTCTGTTACATTACAATGTCCTGTCTGTTCCAGGACACAATATGGCCCCAGCACTCGGACACTCCCCAACTAGAGGTGTGGCTCTGTCACTTTTGTTCTGTTACATTACAATGTCCTGTCTGTTCCAGGACACAGTATGGCCCCAGCACTCGGACACTCCCCAACTAGAGGTGTGGCTCTGTCACTTTTGTTCTGTTACATTACAATGTTCTGTCTTTTCCAGGACACAGTATGGCCCCAGCACTCGGACACTACCCAAACAGAGGTGTGGCTCTGTCACTTCTGTTCTGTTACATTACAATGTTCTGTCTTTTCCAGGACACAGTATGGCCCCAGCACTCGGACACTACCCAACTAGAGGTGTGGCTCTGTCTCTTTTGTTCTGTTACATTACAATGTCCTGTCTGTTCCAGGACACAATATGGCCCCAGCACTCGGACACTCCCCAACTAGAGGTGTGGCTCTGTCACTTTTGTTCTGTTACATTACAATGTCCTGTCTGTTCCAGGACACAATATGGCCCCAGCACTCGGACACTCCCCAACTAGAGGTGTGGCTCTGTCACTTTTGTTCTGTTACATTACAATGTCCTGTCTGTTCCAGGACACAGTATGGCCCCAGCACTCGGACACTCCCCAACTAGAGGTGTGGCTCTGTCACTTTTGTTCTGTTACATTACAATGTTCTGTCTTTTCCAGGACACAGTATGGCCCCAGCACTCGGACACTACCCAATCAGAGGTGTGGCTCTGTCGCTTCTGTTCTGTTACATTACAATGTTCTGTCTTTTCCAGGACACAGTATGGCCCCAGCACTCGGACACTCCCCAACTAGAGGTGTGGCTCTGTCGCTTCTGTTCTGTTACATTACAATGTTCTGTCTGTTCCAGGACACAGTATGGCCCCAGCACTCGGACACTCCCCAACTAGAGGTGTGGCTCTGTCGCTTCTGTTCTGTTACATTACAATGTTCTGTCTGTTCCAGGACACAGTATGGCCCCAGCACTCGGACACTCCCCAACTAGAGGTGTGGCTCTGTCACTTCTGTTCTGTTACATTACAATGTCCTGTCTGTTCCAGGACACAGTATGGCCCCAGCACTCGGATACTCCCCAACTAGAGGTGTGGCTCTGTCACTTTTGTTCTGTTACATTACAATGTCCTGTCTGTTCCAGGACACAGTATGGCCCCAGCACTCGGACACTCCCCAACTAGAGGTGTGGCTCTGTCACTTTTGTTCTGTTACATTACAATGTTCTGTCTTTTCCAGGACACAGTATGGCCCCAGCACTCGGATACTCCCCAACTAGAGGTGTGGCTCTGTCACTTTTGTTCTGTTACATTACAATGTTCTGTCTTTTCCAGGACACAGTATGGCCCCAGCACTCGGACACTCCCCAACTAGAGGTGTGGCTCTGTCACTTTTGTTCTGTTACATTACAATGTTCTGTCTTTTCCAGGACACAGTATGGCCCCAGCACTCGGATACTCCCCAACTAGAGGTGTGGCTCTGTCACTTCTGTTCTGTTACATTACAATGTTCTGTCTGTTCCAGGACACAGTATGGCCCCAGCACTCGGACCCTACCCAAACAGAGGTGTGGCTCTGTCACTTCTGTTCTGTTACATTACAATGTCCTGTCTGTTCCAGGACACAGTATGGCCCCAGCACTCGGACACTCCCCAAACAGAGGTGTGGCTCTGTCACTTCTGTTCTGTTACATTACAATGTCCTGTCTGTTCCAGGACACAATATGGCCCCAGCACTCGGACACTCCCCAACTAGAGGTGTGGCTCTGTAGCTTCTGTTCTGTTACATTACAATGTCCTGTCTGTTCCAGGACACAGTATGGCCCCAGCACTCGGACACTCCCCAACTAGAGGTGTGGCTCTGTCACTTTTGTTCTGTTACATTACAATGTCCTGTCTGTTCCAGGACACAGTATGGCCCCAGCACTCGGACACTCCCCAACTAGAGGTGTGGCTCTGTCACTTCTGTTCTGTTACATTACAATGTTCTGTCTGTTCCAGGACACAGTATGGCCCCAGCACTCGGACACTCCCCAACTAGAGGTGTGGCTCTGTAGCTTCTGTTCTGTTACATTACAATGTCCTGTCTGTTCCAGGACACAGTATGGCCCCAGCACTCGGACACTCCCCAAACAGAGGTGTGGCTCTGTCACTTCTGTTCTGTTACATTACAATGTCCTGTCTGTTCCAGGACACAGTATGGTCCCAGCACTCGGACACTCCCCAACTAGAGGTGTGGCTCTGTCACTTCTGTTCTGTTACATTACAATGTTCTGTCTGTTCCTGGACACAGTATGGCCCCAGCACTCGGACACTCCCCAAACAGAGGTGTGGCTCTGTCACTTCTGTTCTGTTACATTACAATGTCCTGTATGTTCCAGGACAGAGTATGGCCCCAGCACTCGGACACTCCCCAACTAGAGGTGTGGCTCTGTAGCTTCTGTTCTGTTACATTACAATGTCCTGTCTGTTCCAGGACACAGTATGGCCCCAGCACTCGGACACTCCCCAACTAGAGGTGTGGCTCTATCACTTCTGTTCTGTTACATAACAATGTTCTGTCTGTTCCTGGACACAGTATGGCCCCAGCACTCGGACACTCCCCAACTAGAGGTGTGGCTCTGTCACTTTTGTTCTGTTACATTACAATGTCCTGTCTGTTCCAGGACACAATATGGCCCCAGCACTCGGACACTCCCCAACTAGAGGTGTGGCTCTGTCACTTTTGTTCTGTTACATTACAATGTCCTGTCTGTTCCTGGACACAGTATGGCCCCAGCACTCGGACACTCCCCAACTAGAGGTGTGGCTCTGTCTCTTTTGTTCTGTTACATTACAATGTCCTGTCTGTTCCTGGACACAGTATGGCCCCAGCACTCGGACACTCCCCAACTAGAGGTGTGGCTCTGTCACTTTTGTTCTGTTACATTACAATGTCCTGTCTGTTCCAGGACACAATATGGCCCCAGCACTCGGACACTCCCCAACTAGAGGTGTGGCTCTGTCTCTTTTGTTCTGTTACATTACAATGTCCTGTCTGTTCCAGGACACAGTATGGCCCCAGCACTCGGACACTCCCCAACTAGAGGTGTGGCTCTGTCACTTTTGTTCTGTTACATTACAATGTCCTGTCTGTTCCAGGACACAATATGGCCCCAGCACTCGGACACTCCCCAACTAGAGGTGTGGCTCTGTCACTTTTGTTCTGTTACATTACAATGTCCTGTCTGTTCCAGGACACAATATGGCCCCAGCACTCGGACACTCCCCAACTAGAGGTGTGGCTCTGTCTCTTTTGTTCTGTTACATTACAATGTCCTGTCTGTTCCAGGACACAATATGGCCCCAGCACTCGGACACTCCCCAACTAGAGGTGTGGCTCTGTCACTTTTGTTCTGTTACATTACAATGTCCTGTCTGTTCCAGGACACAATATGGCCCCAGCACTCGGACACTCCCCAACTAGAGGTGTGGCTCTGTCACTTTTGTTCTGTTACATTACAATGTCCTGTCTGTTCCAGGACACAGTATGGCCCCAGCACTCGGACACTCCCCAACTAGAGGTGTGGCTCTGTCACTTTTGTTCTGTTACATTACAATGTTCTGTCTTTTCCAGGACACAGTATGGCCCCAGCACTCGGACACTACCCAAACAGAGGTGTGGCTCTGTCACTTCTGTTCTGTTACATTACAATGTTCTGTCTTTTCCAGGACACAGTATGGCCCCAGCACTCGGACACTACCCAACTAGAGGTGTGGCTCTGTCTCTTTTGTTCTGTTACATTACAATGTCCTGTCTGTTCCAGGACACAATATGGCCCCAGCACTCGGACACTCCCCAACTAGAGGTGTGGCTCTGTCACTTTTGTTCTGTTACATTACAATGTCCTGTCTGTTCCAGGACACAATATGGCCCCAGCACTCGGACACTCCCCAACTAGAGGTGTGGCTCTGTCACTTTTGTTCTGTTACATTACAATGTCCTGTCTGTTCCAGGACACAGTATGGCCCCAGCACTCGGACACTCCCCAACTAGAGGTGTGGCTCTGTCACTTTTGTTCTGTTACATTACAATGTTCTGTCTTTTCCAGGACACAGTATGGCCCCAGCACTCGGACACTACCCAATCAGAGGTGTGGCTCTGTCGCTTCTGTTCTGTTACATTACAATGTTCTGTCTTTTCCAGGACACAGTATGGCCCCAGCACTCGGACACTCCCCAACTAGAGGTGTGGCTCTGTCGCTTCTGTTCTGTTACATTACAATGTTCTGTCTGTTCCAGGACACAGTATGGCCCCAGCACTCGGACACTCCCCAACTAGAGGTGTGGCTCTGTCGCTTCTGTTCTGTTACATTACAATGTTCTGTCTGTTCCAGGACACAGTATGGCCCCAGCACTCGGACACTCCCCAACTAGAGGTGTGGCTCTGTCACTTCTGTTCTGTTACATTACAATGTCCTGTCTGTTCCAGGACACAGTATGGCCCCAGCACTCGGATACTCCCCAACTAGAGGTGTGGCTCTGTCACTTTTGTTCTGTTACATTACAATGTCCTGTCTGTTCCAGGACACAGTATGGCCCCAGCACTCGGACACTCCCCAACTAGAGGTGTGGCTCTGTCACTTTTGTTCTGTTACATTACAATGTTCTGTCTTTTCCAGGACACAGTATGGCCCCAGCACTCGGATACTCCCCAACTAGAGGTGTGGCTCTGTCACTTTTGTTCTGTTACATTACAATGTTCTGTCTTTTCCAGGACACAGTATGGCCCCAGCACTCGGACACTCCCCAACTAGAGGTGTGGCTCTGTCGCTTCTGTTCTGTTTCCTCTCCATCACACTTCGAGTTACCTCAGGTGAGTAAGACATATTTATCACAGAACCTTATACTTACTTATTGGCTACCAATATATTGGTGGATTATTAATTAGCAAAATCAAGTCTACTGGCTGATTCCAAATAAGTGCTAATACACCACAAGTGTTAAGCAACATTTAGTACAGGAGCAGCCTTAATTGACATAAAAGTAATAATTTAAAGGATTTAAAGAATTGGCTTTGGATTGTGATTTTTTAGACGAGCACAACTTACGTGACCACATTTTTTAAATAATTTACTATCCCTGTTTAAAAAATTAATTTTAACGTCGTTATTTGGCATGAAATGGGTAAGGAGTTATCCCAAAACATATTTGAAGAAAATGTAATCTTTTAGTCAATTATGTATTTTAATACCGTTTCCAGCTCCATACTGTACTCGTAAATTTCTAATAATACTAAATGGACATGTTGTACCCATAAATAAATGGTAAGTATTCTAGTTAAAATACCGTTAATCTTTAAGAACCTATCTTAAAGATTGTGCAATTTAAAATAATAAATGTTTTAGTTTGTAATTTTATAAATACACAAGCAAGCAATGTATAAGCTAACATGCTCGCAAATGCTGCACCCTCAAGAGGTGAGACGTACAATATACACGAATTTGGAGGAAGATAGATAAGGAGTTGACAGGAACTCTGAGAGTCTTGCAGATAACGGGTCTCACCTTGTCATACCCATAGTGGCAACTACATTACCCAAGCGTTGCTGTTCTAGGTTAAAAATACACCTCATTTTGCCTTTTATTACTAAGAAAAATTCTATTTTTTTTAATCAGCAATTTTTCGATATTTTTAATTGTAAAATTTAAAATTGCTATTTTAAAATATGGAACTAGATAATGTTTTTTTCTAACATTAGTCTCTAATATCTTAACATACACACCGAGTTTCTTAAAGATTGGTTGGAAGGAAAAATATAAAAATGTTTATGTAAAAAATGCAAAATGCGGATATCTGTTTAACAAAGCTATTCCGGGGGAAAAAATCATTCCAGATTTTCTCTTTATTTGTACCCGTTTGTATCCATAAAACCATTTCCCGGAGTTTGACTGTTAATTTACGGTACACTCTGTATATTGTGGATTGTGTACCTAGAAATGTTGCATAACCAAAAGTCAACTTAATTACAGAAGCGTTACTACTTCATGTAGAAAATAATCAGTTTTTTAGATAACCTAGAAACCTTTTATGGTACAGTTTTTAAAATGCAACTAGACATTTAACCCATGTGGGGGTGTGTTGCGCCGTTAAAAAAAACAAAAAAAAAACTTTAAAATGGACGTACAGTTGTTGAATTGGGCCCCTGACATGTTGCGCTAATATAAATTACTGATTTCTGTCAAATACACCAAATCTGAAGTATTTAAAAATGATACGACGAGTTATTGTAAACAATTGTAATTTTTGTCACATCAACTCTTTCAGTAGAAAAAGGAGACGCCTCAACTAGTCCATATAGCTTCAGTATCCAAGTCAATTGTCATGGCCAAATTAAAAAAAAGATTTTGCATGATTACGATATTGCCGTTTCTAAAAAAAATTGATTGAAATTATTTGAACATGAAGCTACAAAATGTGTTATGCTTGATAATTTTTCCGTAACACTACTGTACTGTGAAATGACCTGTTTTCATTACATGTTTACCACCTGAAAAAATTAATCATTATATTGTTTAGTACGGAAGAAGTAATGTTTACTATATTTTTGGATTTTGCCAACTTAAACAAACAAATATTTCTTATTGTCTCGTCAACTGTTTCAATTTGCAACAACCAAAACTGTCTAACCAATGTAGCCAAAAATATTAACTTTTAAATTTAAGGCATAATCGAAACAATGCTATGTGATTTTTAATGTTCCTAACCGTAATAAGGAAATATCCAATGTCTGTTTTAGTTAAGAAAATAATTACTCTTTGTAGTGTAGCAAAAATAACGTTCAAACAACGAATAAAAGTGGGTCTACACATATTCTCGACTATATTTGAAGTGCTCAATATATCTCGCGCTTAAAACGTATGGTCTCAAATATGAAATTACTCACTTTCTACTCTTGCTGTGAAATATACTATTTAAGTGATCGGTAATGGTATATTTCGTTACTAGGACCGAAAGTGGCATTTTCCGGCTCGTGCTCGAGTTCCATGTGTGAGACAAAGCCGAACACAGGATAACCAAATTTTACGTAGGCCTACGATGCGAAGCCGAGGGCGAGACTAATGAAGGAAGTGCTGGATAAAACTTTCTGCACGAGTTATGAACGATACTTTTCCTCACGACACAAAAATACACACGTACAGAATAACAGATGTCAGTAATATGGTAATATTAAAACAGTTAGTTTTAGACCACTCTTTATCATTAAAAATCTACTTCAAAACGTAGGCTTGGTTTCATGATTATACAGGGTGTCCCGGAACTCTCTACCAATATTTTAGGGCATTGCTCCTGGGTAAGAAACATAACTAAATATCATATTTAAACTGTCCGGAAGTCCTTAGTTACTCACACAGCCGCCATTTTGTTTTTTTCAGTTATTATTTTTTTCCTAAAGAATGGTTAAACATACGAAATTGAAACTTTGCACAAACATTTATGACAACTAGACAAAGCTACAAAAAAATTATGAAGATTTTTCAAATTCATAAAACAAAATTGCGGCCATTTAAAATTTTCTTTCTTAAATGACTCAAAAACCATTGATTTTACAAAAATTTTAAATGGCCGCCATTTTGTTTTATGAATTTGAAAAATCTTCATAATTTTTTTGTAGCTTTGTCTAGTTGTCATAAATGTTTCTGCAAAGTTTCCATTTCGTATGTTTAACCATTCTTTAGAAAAAAAATAATAACTGAAAAAAACAAAATGGCGGCTGTGTGAGTAACTAAGGACTTCCGGACAGTTTAAATATGATATTTAGTTACGTTTCTTACCCAGGAGCAATGCCCTAAAATATTGGTAGAGAGTTCCGGGACACCCTGTATATTTTTTAGATAAATATATTAATAAATACTTCGTCTCTTACTTTATTTGGTTAAACACTTTGTATTTTGTGCCAGTTCGTGAACTTACTGTATTATTTCTCTTCATATCTTCCCCGCGATTTCTCTGGTGGAAGGGGTTTATCTATCTCCCAAAGCTCTTTTCATCAAATCATCAGGAATGTTAGACATATTTTTAGCAATTTCAAACATGGAATATGTTAAAAACACAGCAAATCATACTATTGCCTGTTGCTGAATATATTAAGATCGTGCATCAATGAAAACAGCTGATTTTAAGCATTTAAATAAACCTCAATAAAACACTAGCGCGTGTAGTAAGTAAATGGATAACTAATGGAGAGCGAGAGAAAGTAAACTTAGGTAGAAGGAAAATCAGCTGATAGTTTTTCCCTCGTTCTAAATTAGAGCTTGGGAAAAAACTACTTTCTTTGATATAGCTGTTATCGAAAATAGTTACTTTCGGTACAAAGTAATGAAAAAGTACTTTAAGCTGTTTTGCTTTTGAAAATAATTCCAATTATTGCTATTAATGACAAATTCTATCACTAAATCAATAATCGATGTTCATAGTGTACAACCATAAACATTTTAGATTTTAATTTTAATTAATTTTTCCATAATTAATATTAGATTTAAACATTTTAACCATGTAATATTTATATAAATTGTAATTTCTTTGTGTTATAGCATTGACTATACACAGAATAGACTTCCCATGTAATGTTATAAAATTTGAAGCCAAGAAAATAGGATGAATGTGATAATATAGGTGAAGTTCGGGACCATCTCACCAGAGGGTACTAGTGTATTGGGCTATAAGTGACTATCTTTATTCCACACAACGAACGTAATGAACAAGAAAACAACGAATGTAGGAATATACATGAACAAATTATCTCCATATCATAAGTAGCTTATTAGGTTATCAGCATTGCGCTTCAAATGTAACTCGAATTAATTTAAAACATTCATTTGGTTAAACTAATATATCAGTTTGATTTCCATAAATAGTTTGTACAGGCCCAACTATCCGTTCTACTTCATGTAAAAGAATTATGCAGCCCTTAATTAAAATACAAAGATAAACAGTATATGCTAATTATTATGTCTTTTATTGCTGAAAATATTCCCGTGGCGGAGCACGGGCGGTTAACTAGTATTATAATTAATTGGTAGACCGTCTAACAGATTGCACCAGGTTTTTATGGCTTCACATTTGTCCATTACTTGAAAAGTCTATTCTGTGTATAGTCATTGATATTAGATAAATATTACATGGTTAAAATGCTTTAAATCTAGAATAGTCAATGGTTAAATTCATAAAATACCAGAAGCTCTTTCAGTTTTTGTTTGAATATTATTAATCGACCAGTTTAACGTCAATTAAATAAGAAGGTCATACGTTGTAGTAACCTTAGTTTATACAGTTACCACAACACCCCCCTCCACTAGAAGCCCCCCCCCCCCCCTAGTTACTGAGGCTATGAAGGGTGATTTAACGCCTGATCATCCCTTCAATATAAATTACCCTTGACTCGCTCGTTATTTTAAAGGATCGAATTATGAAATAATTTGCGCCGTTTGCCAAGCAGCTTGTTATAGAGAATAGTTTTCAGACCATCGGATTATCATCCCAATCCTTAATAATAATTCAAAATTTGAAATATATAAGCATTTATTCAGACGGTTACATTATACAACATCATACAAAATGTATAATTGCTTAAGTTTATTTGCAAATATATACGTGGCTTATTGGGTTTAGCCAGTTATTGCCTGAACAATTAGTTATTACTAATTAATATTGCGTCTGACGACCCTTTTTCTGTGTGCGATTATTCTAGCATAATGCTAGTATACCCAGGAATATATAACCATAGAAAAATTACTTAAAATACATTCATTCAAAATTGTTTTATTCGGTAGTATCGTCGAAATTTTTTTTATCAATTAGTTAAGATGGGGACGC